ACCTATTTAACTATCTAGCAAGGGTTTGCCCTAAGCCAAGAAAGCATTTTTCCCTTTATGGAAATGTGTCACGTGATAATTTTGAGCGCTTTTCTATGGCCGCCTCAAATTCATTTGATAAATCAACCTTATCCATTTGATTAACAGGTAAAACATGTACACAAAATAAACAAGTCAACCACTAAATATTTAATTTATTTATATATTGAAGTTTATTTCGTAAAAACAGCAACATTAAAACATATGGTATATTATAATAATAGTATAAATTAATCATTAATTTGATGGCTGCTTTAAAATGAACATATGTCACAGTATAGAGTACCCAGGCCGGAATCTACCAAAAATCTTCCACGCCCTCATCGTTCGCCGCCGCCTGCCACAACAACATGCTTAGGCCATTGTGTTTACAGCATGCATGAATACATCGGCTTGACTGTGTTAATTCCTGGTTTGTAAGCACGTCTTACTTGGCATCGTTAAATTAGTTACTTTACACGATTAAAATAAATGTTTAATTTTTGATTACACACAATAATAAACTGAAAAATGCTAACATTCTGTGTGTATACAAGATGAAATTTCTTTAGGCCACTTGCTAGGCCTATAAAAAGGAGCCTCGGCAAATTGGTGCTGTGGTAAGCTTGCTAAGCGTCGGCAATTACCTCGGCATTGCCAAATGCCGACGCTAATTTCGAGGGCTGCACACATCTGGTCACTAATGCCAAGATCTGACCCCATAGCACTGGGGAATAGAGGATATCATAACATCGTGCTGATATTCGAGCACTGTACTATTTATCTATTTGGAAATTTTACTGAACATCTATAATGAATTTGTACTTCATAGGGAGTGTTTTGGATGATAAACAGTTACTCAGATTGTGTGATGCAATGGATAGCAATTGGAGAAGGCTTGGAGTTCAGCTTGGATTAAGTCATTCAGAAATACAGAAACTTGAAAGTGATAATGTTCAAGAAAAGGATGCAGTGATGGCGGGAGGGGCTGTCTCTTATACACATCTAGATGTGTATAAGAGACCTGTGATGAGGGCAGCGCTTTATCAACGGGGTTACATTCGACTTGCTGAGCAACTGAGAGATGACTTTTGCCTACCTGAAAACTTCTCTGGTAATTACATTAATCTAAATTCAATGATTTTTAAAGAATATTATGTTTTTAACATATGTCAACATTGTTTATGATCATGTTTGATATAGAATAATATTCTTAATATTGTTTTTTTTTCATATTAATATGTAACTACAAATGGCAATTTTTTTTCATAAAGAAATTGCTTGTTTTGGATCTCTTGTGTTTATTAATTGCTTTTGTATATAATATTCTTGTAAAACGTATAGTCAGTTCGTTAGGCTAAGTTCAGGCGTTTCAGTTTATAATTTAAACAGGGCATAGTTTTAGCTCTTTTAATCTGTTCAGTCTACACTGCTGATTACAGATAATTGATCAAACTTCTTGTCCCGAAATAAAATTTGCTCATAACAGTGCCCTCATTGGGTTGATAAAGGGACATGATGATTCTGGATATATACAGGAAATAAACATATTTATGGAATTGTCGTATCATTTTTTTAGAATTGAATGTTTCAATAAACCAAAGAAATTGTGATTGTTACTTTCACTTTAAAAAAAGGAGTTGAGGCTAGGGAAATAGTAATAAAAGTGGGGCTCCAGGTTTAAAATTTCTATTAAAATATATATAGAATATTCAGTTTACACCTTGCTGATAAGGAGGTGTTTCGAGCACGGTAGTGCAGATTAATGAACACTGCAAACTGTCATACAAGTGGTAGCATTATTAAAATTACGTAGTTAAACATAAGAAAACTCCTAAAGTAGACTAACTTTCAAAGACTCGTGTTCGCTAACCGCTAAAGAAAACAATTTATTTTATAAATTCTTAAGTAAATTTATCTGATCTTTTCGTTTGTAGTTTTATTTTACGAAAATGCCTCATTTTTACAATAAATTATAGTAGAACCCACTATTCTTCATATTCTTATTCTTCTTCTTATTATTCTTCTTCTTCTTATTACTTTAACTACCTGTATCATTATCAGTTAATTGTCTAAGGCATCTTGTTTTACTTTATTCACATTGTTATAATCAGGTATGAAATTTCCCCATAATAGGATGAATAAAGTTACCATCTATCCTTGTATTATAATTTTATAAACAACCATATTGCTTTCTATAGGGTTTCTTCATGATGATGACCTGATGCTTATTAGTAATGGAATTGGCATTAAGTATCCGGAAGTTGCAGTACGTCTTGGTCTTACATGGAGTGATGTGTCATCAGCAAAAACACAGCATCATCGCCATATTTTTTATTCATCCATGGAGCTGTTGACCAAATGGCGACAGCGACAGACTCATTCTACGAATCAACTCCAGATGATGTGCGAAGCGTTGGAACACGAAGGATTTTCCTCTGTTGTGAAGCAACTACGACCTAATGTGGAAGCATCTTCAGTTCTTTGTGAAGGTATTCAAAACAAGCTTTTTTTTAGATTGCTATTTATCTCTGCAGAAAATTTGTAAATAGTTACATATATCACAGGCCCATATGCAGGATTTTTATTGGGTGGGTGCGAATTTTTAGAAAGTGGACCAAAATGGCTCCATGGGGGAGGGTGCCTAGGGGGATCGAGGTTAATGGTGGCGCCAGGATTTGCCCGACAGGAGGTCTGAGGTCCCCGACTGGAAGGGGTAGGGGGGAGCTTTGTCCCTAAGGAAAAAAGGGGGTGTGCTTTGTCCCTAAGGAAAAAAGTGGCCATGGTCAGGCATCAGTCGAAATCTCTATAAAGTGTTCCAGGGGGCAAAGCCCTAAAAAAAAAATTTTATTTTGAAAACTTGAGAGGGTACAGATGACTGGACTTCTAGGAATTGAAATTTAGGGGACAAGGGAAGCACTTTCACATATTGAGGGTTTATAACACCTCAGCCCCACCCACATAGCAATAATATTAACAATATATAGAATCAATAATAAACATATACACACATATTTACCAAGAACAAAATTGCAAAAATATGGATCAGTATTATGCCCAATGCTGACTAATATTTTTCTTTTATTTCTCAAATGTGACTTTGACAGAATATGAAATATACCCAGCTTTGTAAAATAATTATATAGGCATGTAGGAATGTATTTGTTGTCATCAAGTTTTCATCTGTGTTTCAATTGATGAACATGCCGTATTCGTACATTTCCTTTCAGTTTGTTTGGATGATAAAACATTGCTCAGTATTTGCGATGAAATGAAAAGTGATTGGAAACTTGTGGGTGTTCAATTAGGACTGCAATTATCAGAAATAGACTGCATAGAAAAAGACAACAAACCTGTGAAGAATGCAATAATGAAAATGCTCGTGTCTTGGAGGGATAAACAACCATCCAACATCAACCAACTAACTACAATGAGTTCAGCTCTTGCTGAAAGGGGATATAGTCGGCTTTCTGATCAATTGACAGGCAACTGGAATTATGAAGAAGTATATTCAGGTAGAAATTTAGTACAAAAATAATGATATGGTTGTTAAGGAGGTCATATCTTAAAAAATATGTTTTGTATTTTTGCGTAAATAGTAAACCATAGTCAAATATATAATCTTGCGTTGCGTGATATTAGTTGCGCGTGATGCAGCGTGTAAGCGTTGTATTTTCAATCAGAAAGGCTTTGAAATTAAATTAGATATAGACTTGACAACATTGTTGCTGTGAATTGAGATTTAAAAAAGTCATTAAGAGGTGCATTAAGATAGTGAGAATAGTGCTGATTAATAGGGTTGTATTGTTAAGTCTCTCTGCAAGATTTGGTCCATTGTTTACAAACTAATCATTTAAAGTTTTAACAACATTTTGTGGGTCTGTTATTTTTTATCCATTATGCATAAAGCATTGATAGTAAGCTTTGATTTGGAATACAACCTGAAACAGAATTAATAGTTTGCCAAGTCTTGTATATCAATCAATCAATCAATCAACTAACTTTTTATTTCAGATATTATATCAATATACAGTAAAACCCCTCCTTTAGGACACCCCTATTCAGGGGACACCTCTATTAAGGGGACACTTTTCCGTGAAACGAGGGGCGATATATCTTTTAACACTGCGGCAACCCCCTATTATTTAAAGGGACACCCCTATTAAGGGGACGGGGACACTATCTGAGTGTGCCAAATGGTCAAATAACCTCTATTAAGGGGACACTTATTTTTTTGTCTAATGTATCGCAACAAATACAAAGTCTCAAAATTAGAAAAAATCACTAAACTTGACACATTTAGAGCAACATATTAAGGAACTTTTACCACCTTTCTTACTGCTGATTATCAAGGGCGAGCTTTTGTTAGACTACGTAATAATATAGGTGTAATTTTTGCCCTACCTGACATGGAAATGTACTGAATACTCAGTACGTTTGAAAAAAATTTCGAAAAAAATAATACATAATAATAATAATAATAATAATAAATGTAATAATAATAATAATAAATGTAATATAAATAATAATCATATACAGTAACAATAATAATAAAAATAATAATAATATTTTATCTAAAATTGCAAAAATAATTTTGAACCAAGTAAAATAATCATTTTTTGAAGTGCATACATTTTGGATTGGCAGTACTGTACTGTTTATATCAAAAGGGTCCAAGATTAAGGATTTTAGTTTATTGATTCGCTATCACCTACAATGTTATTGAATGGAAATAAAATACCTGTACAACTAAAACAGACTCACTCACTTACGGTCATTGTTACAACATTGACTGTGAGAAATAATACTACAATTTTTACATTTTATGATTTTATTTGTAGGCTTACATCGTATGTAACAACTCATAAGTATGCTTTTGAAAAAGCAGACTATCAAAACAAAATTAAAATTCAAGTAAGGTACAAAAAAAGTCACTCATAAAACAAAATGATCCATGTAATAGTAATCAATGTATTTATTTTCTTAATAAAAGAAGTAACGTTTCTTTTGTTGCAACAAATGCAAGTACAAAATAATATATTTCTGGAGACTAATCGAAAGGCTAAATTATTCAGTACAGAAGATCTTGTATGGACCATCTGTACATTTATATTTAATTTCTACTGGAACACTGAGTGGTATGAAGGCATACTCAAAGTTTTCAAAATCTTTTATCTTCTGCAGATGGTTTCTCTCAAAATTTTTCGATCTTGTTTAACTTTCGCATCATCACCAATAAATATTTTCAGGCCATTGATATTATTTAAGCTTTAAATGCTATCTTCCATCATAAGTATGCTTGTTTTAAGATTATCAATATCATATTTGCTTCAATTGCTTCTTCAGCTTTGTGAACTCCAGTCGTCAAAATTTCAACGTTATCATTAATATTCTGAATGTTCTGCAGAATTTCAAGTTGGCCATTTGATCATTTCATTTTTGAAACAGTTATGCCTGTCCGTTGATGACTTTTCTAGGCTCTGCTGACTCGGGGCTTTCATCTTACAACCAGCTCTGACAGACTTAGCACCGCCAGGCTGTTGCTGGCCAGCAGCAAGTCCTTTCTTCTCAGGCCCAGATCTGAGAGCATGGACTGAATCTGATTCTGGCATAATAAATACTTTCAGTTTAAAGGGTAGCAAACAGATTACATATAAAGCACCTAATATCACGTCAGATGCAAGAGAATTATAAAGAAAGTGAATTTATTGCCTTGTTTAATTGCTCCAGATTTTGACACGTTTAGGAAGACATGTTTTGAGTTCTGCCACCAGCGTTCATTTCTTTATATACCCCCCTGCTTTTTACTAGATGTAAACAATAAAACTTAATAAATTATGAAGTTGTTCTTATACAGCATTAAAATGTTTGTTGAAGTGTATATCATTTTTTCTGCATTGCTTTAGAAGTTTTTTATTTATCTTGATTTATTTATTCTTGTTTTTATTATTTGTCAAATATGGCTATGCTGGATTAATAAATGGCAAAACATGTGTTCTACAAGTAGTTTGACTTTATTCTTTCTAGTTCAGTTACTTAAAAGTTTTTGCTAAGCCCTTAAGCCCAGTATTCATGGTTTTGAATTAGTTAATGTGCATTTTGTCCAATTCTGCCAAAAGTCAATGTGTTTTCATAAACTGTATTTTATAAGGAGAGCAGCTTGATGTAGTAAAACCATTTACAAACAAATGGTTCAGTGCTTACAACCAACTTTATAAGTAACAGATAATAAATGTATTGTTTGAGTTGATCTTAGATACGGTGTATTTGATGCCATTTTCTCAAGGAATGATTTTAACATTTAAAATTTAATAAATCCTTGTTAATTAATGAACATGCAGTATTTATTCTTTTGCTTGCAGGTCGTTTGGATGATAAATCATTGCTCAGTATTTGCGATGAAATCAAGGGTGATTGGAAACTTGTGGGTGTTCAATTAGGACTGCAGTTATCGGAATTAGACTGCATAGAAAAAGACAACAAACCTGTGAAGAATGCAATAATGAAAATGCTTGTGTCTTGGAGGGATAAGCAACCATCCAACATCAACCAACTAACTACAATGAGTTCAGCTCTTGCTCAAAGGGGATATAATTGGCTTTCTGAGCAATTGAAAGGCAACTTTAATCCTGAAGAAGAGTATTCAGGTAAAACTATTTTTTTCAACTATAATTAATAATAGTTTCTAATGTATTTCCAAAAGGTTCCTATAGTGTTCTGTTTTATCCATTATCAATTTAGCAAATTATTTATGTACTGGTATGCATTTAGTCAAAAACAAATCATTTACAGAAACATTATTATAATTGTTAAAGCAATAACTAGTAAAATTTGTATACATTAAATTAGAAATTAATACCTGTAGGATTGATTAGAGCATGACAAATAAAGTGTGGTTCACTTTTACATTTACCTAATCTATTATATATTAAGCCTATTGTAGAGTGCACTGTTCAATTTGAAATTCTTATAATTCTGAGACCCCTATTAAAGACCGTTTTCAAAGGACTAGATAACAATCGTCAGTCTCTTAACACATAGCTAACCCTGTACGGTAAGTACAGTACACTACAGTATGTAAAATTATCTTCTCATTTAAAGGTGATGTGAACAACAACTAAAAAAAATTAAATACAAAAAGAATATTATTTATGTTTTGTGTTTTATCATAAATTTATGCATGTCAATCCTATACGATACTACTTTATTGCAATTTGATCAAATATAAAACAAATTGAAGTTGAAAAATCCTATGTTGCTTTCAGTGAATTTCATGCAATGATTTTATATTTTTGCCAGGCATTGAATTGAAATATGAAATTATTCTATTTTAGATCATAAACCTTCAGCATGTGCTTTATGCAGTCTCTGTTCTGATGATGAATTCTCACTGCCAAATCTATCAAACGTTCCACACGGTATGAATTTCTCAATTCAGTTTTATTATAGTCTGTGGCTATAATACCCACGTATTAATACCCAAATATTTATATAGCGCCAATATCGATGAATTGACCAAAGGTGCTGAGTGTTATTACCCCTGATCACTGGATAACATGCAATGGTAAACCAGCACAAAATGCAACATTCTCTGCTCCCTGGGGAGTATACCTAGTCATTCGCTACTTATTTAGCACACGAAACAAATACATTCAATGAAACAACATCCTACCAGGTACCCATTTATACTCTTGGGTAGAGAGAGACAAACATAGATAAAGTGCCTTGCCCAAGGACATAAGCGACTTGCACAGCGAGAGTTTCGAACCTCTGATCTTAAAGGTTGGGAGTCCAAGCCACAACCGATGTGCCAACCGCTTCTATTGTTACACCGTCTTAAACCGATTCCTGATTCATATTGGATGTTACTGTCCTAATTCTATCCATGCAATAACATCCAATCAGAATTAGAAACTGGTTTTTAAGACTGGTGTAACAATACCCATTGTCTAAATTATAATACTTTTTCATTTAGCAATTAATATAACTTACCTTATCCTTTAATACCTCAATAGAGTGTACAATGGATGAGCAAGACTTCAGAGGGATTCTGTTAAAAATATCTGAAAATTTGGATGAAGAAGATCTGTGGGTTTTGAAGGTTGCTCTCACTGATCTCATCAAAGACGCACACACACGTGTTGAAGCAGATCGGGCAACTGAACTCTTTGAGAGTTTGATCAAACAAAATATCCTGAACCCAAATGACATGAGCATTCTGCCTGAAGTATTCCAGTTAACAGGTTTAAATTATTTGCAGCGATTCATCAAAGGATGCCCACAGGTGAAGGACATTCCAATTACTTTCTTTTCCAAGTTCCGCCAGTCTGTAGTTGCCTTTGGAAGAGCGCTAACTGCCAGCCTTACAAGAGAGATCGAATATGCATTTTTTGGTACAGAAAAGTTGTACAAGAACAAATGGGATCTGATGATGAAACTGGAAATGAATCTTAAACTATGCAATAATGACAAATCAATAGAGAGCTTTAAAGCAAAATTCAGTAATCATGTAAGCAAATAAGCTAAGATAAATCTATCCAAATACTACAAGAGCTGAAAACAATGCTTATAATTGTAATTTTGGGAATTATACTCTATATAAACTGTCTCTTATACACATCTAGATGTGTATAAGAGACAGCTATTAAGGGGACACTTATTTTTTTGTCTAATGTATCACAACAAATACAAAGTCTCAAAATAAGAAAAAATCACTAAACTTCAAAAACTGACACATTTAGAGCAACATATTTAGGAACTTTTACCACCTTTCTACTGCTGATTATCAAGGGCGAGCTTTTGTTAGACTACGTAATAATATAGGTGTAATTTTTGCCCTACCTGACATGGAAATGTACTGAATACTCAGTACGTTTGAAAAAAATTTGGAA